CACAGAAGGGAGAAAAGACTGACAGGGTGCACAGCCGCAGTGACTGGTCACACAGAGGGGTTCTTCTCCCTCGGTTACTTCCAGGATCTCAGGCCTGAGGCTGACTTTCTACAGGAACTGGATGCGAGGTGCTACAGCTCCTTTATCAGGAGGAGGGGCTCCTGCTCCAAGCCTGCCGTACAGCGTATGCCCTTTCAGGCAGGGACGCCACCCCCGGGGTCTTTGGTTCTCGTCCTGGTCTGGCTGTTTTCCCCTGTGCTGCTTCTGTTCTGTGACTGCTCTGGGCATTCCTCCTACTACAAACTACTATGTGGTTCTATGGAAGGATCCTATAAATCAGCACTGAATGTGTCCGTACAGCTCCGACTATAATACCTATGTAATTACATAGAAATATTATACAGAACTAAGTATGCTAGACATATATAAGCTGGAATAATAAGCAGTAAGTAGTAAGTTATTATAAGATTATACAGAAAAGCTCTATAGAACTAAATATGACTATATATATAAGCTAGACATAAGTAAGCAGTGAGTTATACTTCACGCACTAATTGTGCCTGGGGTCTGCACAGTTTCCTTGGTGCCCCGGGGGGTGTTACCCACAGGCTAAGGCCCCCACCCCTACAGACAGAGCCCAGGACCCCCCACCCAGCACACAGAGGTCGGGACCCCACCTCAGCTCCCTGCACACCTGGTGGATCTCCTGCCAGCCATTCTCGTCGGTGGTCCCCAGCTGAGCATGGTCGTGGAGAAGCAGCTCACAGCAGAGGGCATCCCCACCCCCCAGGGCGCTGTGGTAGAGGGGTGTCAAGCCGCGGCTGTCCTTGTAGTCAGGTGAAGCCCCCAGGTCCAGCAGGGTCTGAGGGTGAGCAGCCTCAGTATCCACACCAGGCACAGCAGCCCCCAGCCCCACCACCAGGAGACAGCCCCTCCAGGCCAGGGCCTGCCCTCACTGACCGTCAACGCCGCCGCATTCCGCTGGCGTGTGGCACAGTGCACAGCAGTGAGCCCGTCGCGAGTGCGAAAGTCCAGGTGGGCACCGCCGTTCTTCAGCACCTTTAGCAGGTCCGTGGCATTGTCCAGCTGGGCTGCAAGGCTCAGGGGGCACTCTGGATTCAGAGACAGATGAGGGTCAGGCTCCCAGCCACTCAAGAGGCCATGCCCCTCCCTACTCTGCTCCTCACCTCCTGAGTCAGGGTCATGGAAGTTGGGGTCCAGCCCCTTGTCCAGCAGGCGGGCCACCTTGTCCGTGCTGTGCAGCTGAACATAGTCCATGAACTTCTTCAGGTTCGCCTGGAACACCAGCCGCCAGTCAGCCTGGCACCGAGGCCTCTGTCATCTGACCATCAGCCACCTTCCTCCTGCAAGCCCCGGGCCACCTTGGGGCATCCCCCACCACATCCCTACCACTCTGACCTGTCACCTGACATCACCATTGTCACCCACAGCCCTGCGCTCCCACCACGGCCCCAATTCCTACCTGGCTGGGCCCATGCACGGCTCAAAGCCCTTCCTTGCATCCTGAGAGCCAAACCAGCCACAACCACGAGCCTGCACCCAAGTAGCCCCTCACCAAGGACAGGTCACCCTGGTCATGCCCCAGGCAAGTCCCTCACTCCAGGCTCAGTCACTGCCCTGTCTCCGTGTCTCCGGCCCTGCTGCCCCAACCTGCCTGGCCTGGAAGAGCCTGAAGTCTACCCAGGTGGGAACCAGCCTCACAGCAGCCCTGAATCCTCAGCACCCTGAGATGACCTACTCCTTCTCCAGCCCATCTTCCTCTCCAGCTCACCCCACGGCACACGCCCACCCCAGGGACCCCTCCTGTGACAGACTTTGATGGCCTTGTACTCACTCACCCAGTTTATCCACTTGCCCCACAAGACCACACTTGCCCAGGTGGCACTACAGACACCACACACACAAGGCAGGTCTCCTGGTCAAAGACCCAGGCCCTTCCATAAACCCTCCATGTACATCAGAAATAGGAGAGGGCACCACAGGGACCCCTGCCCTGTGAGGGGACCTCCTCAGGTAGGCCAGGCAGTGAAAGAGAAGGAAGTGCTCACTGCAAGGGGAGAGGGAAAGGCCAGATGGAGCCCTGGGGGGGCAGGAACATGGGGCTGTATGAGAAGTTTAAGCTCATCCCGAAAGCAATGGAGACCCCTGAAGAGTGAGTCATTCGTGTCTTGTTGGTCACTGTGGAGAGATCTGGAGGGAGACGTGGTCATGGGGGAGGGACCCAGGCTGACAGGGTCGAGTGAGGGCCAGCGGAGGGAGAGGGGGAATTTTCCACAGTGGCCTCTGCCCAGCCACAGTGCCAAGGCATTGACCACCACCTGCCCAGGGACAGCAGAAAAGTCTGGCACAGATGCCCGAGGCTCCAAGGTCACTGACGGGACCATCAGGGCACAGGGGTGACAGTGTTCTGATCCCTCTCCTAAGCTCCAGAGCTTGTCCACAAAGTATCCCCCAAGCAAGTGCCTGCTGGCCCATGACCTTGGGGTGGGAGCCCATGTGGAGGGGCTGTGGCACTCACACTGCCCCTCCGACATTCAGAGGTGGTAGAAAGGTGCCCCCCAACAGCATTTGGGGTCAGGCCCAGCTGGAGGTGGCACCCAGCAGTAAAGACACCTCACAGGTATGCTTGGGGACTGGGTCTGGGATCAGACAGACCTGGGTTCAGCCCCAGCTTCACTGTCTACAAAGTCGTGAACAAGTGACTTATCTTATCTGGCACTCTGTGTCCCCATGTGCCAGATGGGGTTCTATTAGTCCCTCCAGAAGAGGATTAACGAGAGGTCTCATTACAAACGCCCAGTGGCTGACCACTCGGTGCTGGGTGCCTTGTCCCGAAAGCCATCAGGTCAGATGCTTGTCCATTCTCTCTCCCACCCAGCTTCTCACAGGATACTCTAGCCCCTAAGCCAGGGGGTCAGTCTCTTAGTCGGATCTAACTGGAACACACCACTGGACCACCTGTTCCCCCAGTCATGGTGCCTGGAATCTGTGCCCAGCCCTCCAGCCACACCCAGCACCGTCTCTGGAACCCTGACAGTAGGGTAAATAGACTGAGCTAAAGCTGGGGGGACTGCGGTCAGCCCCAAACTGGAGTGGGGGGCAGCAGCCACAGGGAGGCAGGAGAGAACCTCAGGAGCACCCCCTCGCCATGACCCTTACCTTTGTGTGAAGCTTTGCAAACTGCTTATCATCGATGAGGTTCTGCGCATAAACTCGCCGCTTGTATCGAAACTGCTCAGATAAAGAAAAGGTAGAGAAAACGCCCCCATCCCGGCTAAGCAAGGGAGTCCACTCACAAACCCTGTCACACTCATGCTGGCCACACTGCGCCCCTCACTGCCCTCCTGTACACACCATCAGTGCAGCACAACCCAGTACCACACAAACCCAGACGCACATACTACCATGGTGGACAGAGGTAACAGCTGCCATGCACCCACCACACCCAGGCATCATGCAGCGTGGTGGAAGGCACATGTGAGTTGCCCGCAGCCTGCAGCGTCCTGTCTCCTTGCCATCCCCAGGATTCTCTAAAAATCCCACACCTCCCTGAAGGCCTCACTCCAGGCTTACCTTCCTAGACATCCCCCTCTTTCCAGGTAGAACTGACCCCACTTTCCTGTGCTGTCATGGACACCAGCCCAATTTTGAGCTCAGCTCCCAAAATCTTTATTCAATGCTCCTTGCAGTTGGGTGACCCCCTCCACCCTGCCAAACTCCAAGACCTTCCACAGGACCGAACCAGTCTGTGTCCCCATGCCTGGCAGGGCACTCAATACATCTTCACACCATGCATGGGTGAGCAAAGGAGGAGACAGGGTGACCTTCACAAGACTTCACAGCTTGGAGAAAGGAATAAACGTGCACACAGACAACCCTGCTCATACCACACCCCCCTCGGGCACTCATTCCTGCACACACTCCTCCCTGGAGAACGATGCATTGAAACCACATATGCTGCTCAATGCACACACTGTTCAAACTGCACACATACACAATCTGACTGTACGTGTGGCACACTGAACACACTATACACATTGTGCACGCTTCTCACTGTGTACTGCACATGCTGCTTGCCATAATTACCACACTGCTCACACGGTACTCAATGCCCCAAACTTCAATGCTGTACACATGGCTCACCACATGCAGTGTACACACTCACTGCACACACCGCGCGCCACTCACCGCACACCCTGTACACACTCGCTGCACACACTGTGCCTGCTCACTACATACATTGTGTGCACCCACTGCGCTGCCGGCTCACTACAATGCTCACTGCACACACTGCACCTGCGCGCTACACACACTGCACGTGCTTCCTGCATGCATTGTGTACACCCACTGCACTGCCGGCTCACTACAATGCTCACTGCACACACTGCACGTGCGTGCTACACACACTGCACGTGCTCACTGCATGCATTGTGTACGCCCACTGCACTGCCCGCTCAGTACACATGCTCACTGCACGCCACTCACTGCACACACTGCACGTGCTCTCACTGTACATTCTTTCTGCACACACTGCCCACTCACACTGTACATACTGCACACACTGTGCCCGCTCACTGCACACCGCTCACACTGTACATCCTGACTGCACACACACACACACACACACACACACACACACTACCTCCACCCTCGCCCCTCCCACCTGTGCCCACCGCCATGCCCTTCCCTGGTCATGCCACGGAGCTTGGGGGTCTACTCTGCGCGCTGCTCCGCTCGCCCCGCGCCGCCGCTCACCTCCAGGTAGGGCAGGGGCGTGTCCAGGTTAGGCGGGTAGTCCTGCAGGAGCCGCTCCTCGTCCAGGAACTTGCCGGCGCGGCCCCGGGAGGGCGGCTGGAAAAGCCCATAGTTGAGCGCGTCCTGGAGGCTGTGGTTGAGGGCGCAGAGCACGCGCTGCTTGGCGGCCCACACGGGCGCGGTCGGGTCCAGGCGCAGGCACTTCTGCAGCGGGGCGGGCTCGTAAGCTCAGACTCGGGCAGCGCCGCCCGCCCCGCCCGCTCCACGCGGGGTGCCGAGCCCCGGGCCCCCCCCAAGCCGAAGGAGTCCGGGGCTCGGGAGCCGGCGCCCAGGACCCCGCGCCTCCGCGAACTGCGGTCCAGGCCCCGCCCCGGGGGCCGGGCTTCCTCGGGCCCCGCCCTGGCGATGGGGAGGGTCCCGGCGGAGGCGGCGGGGGAGGGGTGAGTAGCCTTGGGCCGGGGGTCCCAGGCGCCGGGAGACGCCCGGCGGGACGGGGGCGGGGGGATCCCGGGCGGGGAGCGCAGGGGCGCGGCCGGGCCCGGGGCGGCGGGGCTCACCGTCTGCTGCAGGTCCGGGATGCCGACGCGCACGACCACGGCGCTGGCCCCGGGGCCGTCCATCCCCGCGCCGGGGCCCGGGCCGGGGCCTCTCGCGCCAGGGAACGGAGCGCCCGGGGACTCCGCGCGGCGCCCCGGCCCCCCCTTCCCCCCCGCCGGAGCCCCGTCGGCCGCGCTGCGCGGGAGGGGGCCGGGGGGGGCCGGGGCCGGGGCCGGCGCGGGGGACAGCGGCTCCGGGGGCTCCGCTGGGGCGGCGGCGGCGGCGGCGGCGGCGCGGCTCAGCTGCATCGGCCCCGGCTCAGCTCGGCGCCTGCCTTCCCCGGGGGCGGGGGCGGCGGGGGGAGGGGGCCTGAGACGGGAGGGAAGCGGGGGTGGCGAGGGGGCTGCGCCGGAGGCGGGGGCCGGGAGGGCTCCGGGCCAGTGTGGGGGGGCAGCTGGCGGGGTCCCGGGTGGGGGGGGAGGCTCGCGAGGAGGGCGGGGGCCAGGCCCCGGGGCGGGGGGCTGGGGGGCTGTGCCGGGGGGCGGGGGGAGTCCTAGGCCTCGGCGGGGGGGGAGTGGCTGAGTAGCGAGGGCCGCGCCGCCCTTCCGCAGCGGGCGGGCATCCCCGGACCCCCGGGCAGGGTGCGGCGGAGTAAGGGGTCCCAGAGCTGGGGTGGGGGCCGCGTTGGGGCAGGAAGACCGAGGTAGGGGGAGAAGGGGAAAGAAAAACAATTAATTTCCGGAGGCGGCGGTTTCTCCCCCCACTCCACCGACCCCCCAGCTCCGGGCCCGGAGGAGATGGCGGGGACCACCCCTGCCCCAGGCCTGGGGGTCGGAGGCTGGGGACCTCCAGAACGAGAGAGTCCGGGGCCGTTCCCACCGCCGCAGGGAGAGGCCCTCCGAATTAACCCTTTTGACCACGCCCTGGCGGCTCCCCCACCCCAGCCGAGTTTGGGGAGTTTGCTCCGGACTTCCCCCCAAGGCCCCCTGGCGGGCCTGGACCCTTCGCTTGTCGCCCCCTCCCCGTCACCTTAGCGACGGCGGGATGGGGGCGCGACCTACGGGGAAGGGCCTAGGGGAGGGGGCGCTACTAGTCTCCACCTGCGACTGGGAAGTGAATTTTAGTTTTACGCGTTGTCGTGGCAACGCGGGAGGGGGTGATGAGTGGGCGGAGGAGGGGGGAGCTCAGTAAAGAAACTAGCTCAGGCACCGCCGCCCCATCGGGGCGCACCAGGTCCCCCAGCCCTGAGCGGCCTCTCCGAACTGTCCAGCTCTGCGAGCCCCTGTTCCCCCAAGAGCAGCCCCTAAATCGAAATAGCTCCGACTCCCACAGAACTCTCCCAATCCACTTTGCCTGGCGTCCCCACCCCCAGCAGCCCCAGATCCCGGGAGAAGAGCCGCTGGCCCCCTGAGGGCAGAGCTTGAGAACGTTCACCAAAGAGCCCAGCCTAGCGAACCCCTCTGCCTAAAGAGAAAAGCAGCCCCTAATTCCCAGCCTCTCCAAGAGCAGCCCCAGATCACCCACAAAACGGATTTTGCCTGAGCCTCCCAGGAATAACCTTGAACTGCTGCGGCCCCTATACACGCAGAAAAACCTCCCTCCCCTCCCCTTGACAGCCTGGACCATCCTAAATACCCAGACCCACACAGAACAGGGCTTGACACTCCCCCACAGATCCACCTCGACCACCACCTGCCCACCCCAGAGCACCCCTGACCCCATACAGAGTTTCTGATGAACGCTCTGCTCTCAGAACAGCCTCTGGTCAACCCCAGAGCAGGGCCTCTCTTCCCTGGCACCAGCCTGGCTTGCTCCTCCCGCCTCCCCAGGACGCCACTGACCCGGCAGAGTGGAGCCTCCAGTGCACTGGGTGGGTTACATCCCGCGTTCTTCCCTTGCCTGGACGGTTACTGCCTGCCCAGAAACTGTGGTCCCAGCATCACAGACCTCCCAGGCCCCTCCCAAGGCCATTGGCCTGGCCTGAGTGGTGCAGCTGAGGGTCTCCCAGGGGAGGGCGCAGGATGGGAGGGGTGGGGGTCCCGGGAGCAGGGAGCAGGAAGGGGCCCTCGAAGCTCCCTTATCTACAGGAAGCACCTTGGAAGGCACCAGGGCTGGATTTCCTGTGCCCCAGCCCTGGAGAGAGGAAGCTAGTGCTTCCCGGCCCACCTCGTGTCTCCACCGTCTTCCTGCCGTTCTCTCTCCCCTCCCTAGTCACCCAGGCCCCCAGCTCCCTCCCAACCCCTCCTTCAGCCCTAACCCTAACCCTCCCTGTCATTCTTCCCACCACAACCACCACTTTGGATGGGGCCACACCTGTCTCCGTGGCCAGGTTTTCCACAGCCTTGGGCCTCCTCCCTCTCCTTTGGGCTCTCCCTACAAGCCTGCCCTTGGCTGGATGGACCCAGAGCCCCTGGGTGGCACTCCCCCTACCCCCAGACTGGACCTCTGGGCCCCACCAGCCTCCTCCTGCCAACCCACCAGCCCAGGTGAATCCAGCCACCCCATGCCAGCACAGGCTGTGGCCACTGAGCCTTACAAGAGAAAAATCTCACATCTTCGCCAACCAGCAACCAACAGATTGATGGTCCCCAGACTCAACTGGGTTGAAGACCCACTGCCCAGGGCAACCCCAGGGCGCCTGCCCAGTGCCGCCCTGAGCCTGGGTTCTGCACGGTGCCTGGCACGCGTGATGCTCACATCGTGAACAGAGTCCAAGCCTGAGTCACTCCCCAGCTCCACCGCCACCCCGGCAAACAGCAAAAATAACAATACCCACAAGCACTTACACACATGACGTCCTCCGGGTGGGTTCCTGGAGAGGAAGTCAAGGGACACGGGGTGTCTTTGCCCCTTATTTTGTTGAGAATAATCCCCAGGTTCCCCAGGGCCTTCCCACACTTCCTGAGCACCCTCCCTCAGGCCCACCAGACCCCACCTACCAGGCAGGGCCACCCTGGGCCCAGCCCTGACCCCTCTTCTCTCCTCTCTCTGACCTGGAAGGTGGGGTTTTACAGGACACCACAGCCCCTAGCTTTCCCTTCCTTCCAACAGGGCCAAAGGATCTGGAAAGATCCGTCCTTCTCACCATCCCCACTTCTTCCCCACCTGCCCCCACACACATTTAGACACAAATAGGCCTCACAAGGCCTGGGAGAGCTCATGTGGGCAAAGCACCCAGAATAGTGCTGGACACAGGGGTGGGGGGCAAACCAACCCCTGGATGGACCACAGCCCACTGCCCCACTGCCACCCCCAGGCTGAGGCCACTGCAAGGGCCCTCCCTGCCTAAGCCCTCCTGTCCTAATACACTCTGCAGCAAGGGGGCTCACGCCCCCACCCACCTTCAGGACCTTGGGTGGGCCTGCGTTTGCCAGCCACTGGCTTCTCTTATCAGAGCTGTTGGCCTCACTTCGGCTGCACTCAGAGCTGTCCCATCCAGACCTCCCACCATCGATCCCCCGCCCCTCTCACCCACTCCTTGCCCTCCCTCTCACTCAGCCCACAGTCCCTGTGAGGACCATTTCCCTGGAAAAGATTCCCAAAGGCAACACGAGGACCCTGTGCTGCTAACCCTTCTGTCCTGTCCCACTTGACTTCCCGGGGAACATCACCTCCCTTGGCCGCCACACACCTTTGTCCGGGAGAGGACCCTCTGCTCTCAGGCCATCCCCTCTACCTTCCTTTCTCAGGTGGACCTGCCCAGCTCCACACTGCTCCACTCCCTCCCTCTGGTCCCCTGCCTTCCTTCTGTGGCCTTCTGGCATACTCTGACTTATTTGTGGTTTAGTGTCTTTCTTTCCCTGCCAAAATGTAGGCACCCAGTGGAGAGAGACCTTGGCCGGTTTGGTTCACTGATGTGTCCAAGCCCCTGGCACAGCCCTGATGCATGGCAGTGCTCCTGCTGGCCTCCATGTGCAAGTCCAACTTCCCCTCCCCAGAGCAGTCCCTCTCCCAGCTTCCAGACCAGCTTGTGGAAGGCAGGCATCCTTGGAGGATCCGTTGGTAATAAAACTGTCTGGATCTGGTGTGTTTTCTGGTTATTGAATATCTATCTATAGTTCTATTTAGGCTCCATTTTATCTTGATTCTTAAGTTTTAATTTTCTAGGAACACAAATGTATTAAAAAATCAGCTTTTCATTTTTTTATCATCTCTGTTTTCTATTGTATTCTTATGTTTATTTCCTTAGGATTATTTTTCTTTTTCTGGTTTTTTGTTTTGTTTTGAGACAGAGTCTTGATCTGTCGCCAGGCTGGAGTGCAGTGGGTCGATCTTGGCTCACTGCAACCTCCACCTCCCCGGTTCAACAATTCTGTCTCAGCCTCCTGAGTAGCTCAGATTATAGGTACCCGCTAAGATGCCCAGGGTTCCACCATGTTGGCCAGGCTGGTCCTGAACTCTTGACCTCAGGTAATCCACCCGCCTCAGCCTCCCAAAGTGCTGGGATTACAGGCATGAGCCACTGCACCTAGCCATTTTGTTCTGATTTTCTAATATCAATTATATATTTTGGCTTGGGAATTGCTGAAAAATATGCTTATTTATATTTTTAAATGTGCCGGGCTTGGTGGCTCACACCTATAGTCCCAGCACTTTGGGAGGCCGAGGTGGATGGATCACCTGAGGTCAGGAGTTCGAGACCATCCTGGTCAACATGGTGAAACCCCGTCTCTCCTAAAAATACAAAAATTAGCCAGGTGTGATGGTGCGTGCCTGTAATCCCAGCTACTCTGGAGGCTGAGGCAGGAGAATTGCTTTAACCCGGGAGGCGGGGGTTGTAATGAGCTGAGAACGCACCATTGCACTCCAGCCTGGGCAATAAAACTACTCCTGAAAAATTAAATAAAAATAAAAAATATATACTTTCAAATGCATATTGTTTTTTTTGTTGGGGGAAGACTAGCCCTTGGTTATTGATATTTTTTACATTATGGTCAGAGAAGGTATATCCATAATACTGATATTTTGGGGTTCTGTGAATTCTTTCTATCCTTCTACATGGTCCATTTTTGTTAACATTTCCTTTTTATTCAGTAGGAATTGTTGGATACAGGTATATCCATTCTTATCATAAATGTTGATATCTATTTCATATATGATTCACATATATGAAACATATTAATTCATATATTCATTTATTCATATATAATCTCCATTAGATCAAGCTTGTTTGTTTTACTCACATACGCTGTACTTTCTGTTGTCTGCTTGATTTATAAACGACTGAGAGAGAACTGTTCAAATCTCTGCTGTGGCTGTGGCTTTGCCAGTCTCTTCTTTAAATTTTGCCAGTTTTGGTTTTATAGACTTTGTCATTAAATGCTAACAAGCTTAGAATTATTAGAGCTTCCTGATAAATTCATCCTTTTATCATTATATAAGACCACTCTTTAATTAAGCCTTTTGTCTTAATTTTATTTTTTCCAACAGTGAAGATAGCTGCAACACACTTGTTCATGGCCTCATATATCTCTTTCCATTGTTTTCCTTTTATCCTTTGTTTTATATTCTTCAGTGTGCTTCTGGCAAATAGCATATACAGCTAGATTTTTTTTTTTGACCCAGTCTGACAATTTTCAATCTTAAATAGTATGTATGTTGTAATTAATGATATGCTTTAACTGATTTTTACCATCTTATTTTGTGCTGTTGGTTTGCACTTTTTCCTCTATGCTGCTTTTTTCTTTCTGCCTCTATTGGATTTATCAAGTTTTCTTTATTCCCCTTTCCTCCAACTCCCATTGGTTTGGAATTCATGCATTTTCTGTCATTTTTATAAACTTTCCACATGCATAATTAACAAGGTCTAAAGTTAATTAGTGTCTCCATATTCCTTCTGTGTAACAAAAAGAATTTAGAATACTTAACCTCCAGTCGCTTCTCTCACCCTGGCTTTTGTCCATGTTGTTTCTACCTCCAAATTAGTCATGTCTGTTATTACTATCACTATAGAAAAATAAGTGCTTGTTTAGACTTAGTCACATGTTAACCAGTTTGTTTGTTTGCTTGTTTGTTACGGAGTTTCACTGTTGTTGCCCAGGCTGAAGGGCAGTGGTGCAATCTCAGCTCACTGAAACCTCCGATTCTGGGGTGCAAGCAATTCTGCCTCAACCTCCCAAGTAGCTGGGATTACAGGGATTGCTACCACACCCTGCTAATTTCTGGATTTTCAGTAGAGAAAGGGTTTCACCATGTTGTTCAGGCTGGTCTCGAACTCCTGACCTCAAGTAATCCGCCTCAGCCTCCCAAAATGCTGGGATTACAGGCGTGAGCCACCGTGCTCAGCCTTCTTGCCTCTCATTCTTTCCTTCTAGGTTTAATTTTCTTTTCCCTAAGAGTGCATCCTTTACACTTTATTCATTCATTCATTCATTCCTTTATTCTTGAGATAGGGTCTCACTCTGTTGCCCAGGCTGGAGTGCAATGTCACGATCTGGGCTCACTACAGCCTCTGCCCCCTGGGTTTAAGCAATTCTTCTGCCTCAGCCTCCCAAGTAGCTGGGATTACAGGCATGCAACACCACACCCAGCTAATTTTTAAAATTTTTAATAAAGACAGAGTTTCCCCATGTTGCCCAGGCTGGTCTCAAACTCCTGACACTCAAGCAATCCACCTGGCCTCAGCCTCCCAAAGTGCTGGGATTACAGGCATGAGCCACTGCGCCCAGCCTCTTGTTTTTAATTATTTCAAAAATATTTATTTTAAAATTTCTAGTCAATAGTTTCATTATGTGAACTGTTTGATGGTTTAATTCTGCTTTTTGTGACATCGACTAATTCTGACTCTTGGTGGACTGTTTCTGTGAGAATTTTATGACCAGGGGTTATGAGCTCATGTTGGGCCTGGATTTATGAGAACCCTGAATAACCTAGTTATGTCCCTTCAGAGGAGTACCGCTAGCCCACCATTTCTTTTTATGTCAATGTCTTGGCTTTGTGGCCAGGACCACAAAGGGAAATATAAACTCCAAAGCCGGCAATAATGACAGTTTCACAGAAAAACCTTTTTTGCTTGGAGACTACCACAAAGACTTATGAAAATTGTTTAAATAAAAAATGTGCAGTGAGAATTATGAAAATGGATTGTTCACTAAGGTTTTTGAGCACATACATGCCATTCTAAGTGTATTACATATATTAGTTCATTCAATCATCACAAAGTCGCTAGGTGAGCCACTGTTACTGTCCTCATTTAACAGGTAACTTAACTTGTCCATGGTCACTGTGGCTGGTCAGCAGAGAAGCCAGTAGGCATGTTGCCTGAGCGGGGCCAATGTGAGTCCTGCTCTGGGATTGTACGTCTCTTAAAATGAGAAGACTTGTTCCACTATTCAGATGTAGTGGAGAGATGTGCACTCAGGAGCTACTGGCAACCAAGCTGCCAGCCTGGAGAAGAAAGCCACATTGAAAGAAATACAGATTTGGGAGACAGGGAAGGTTCTGAAGGGGTTTGAGTTTGTAATTCTAGTCCCTAAAATCTGATAGCGCTTTTGCTTTTCTTGCAGTTTGGTTTCAAGGAACAAAAAATTTCCCAGAAAAGTTCAAGACCTGGACTTGGAGCAAATGCCCAGCTCAGCCACCAGATACCCAGGTGACGTGGAAAGCTTCCTAGCCTTCCTGTATCTCCAGGTATGCTCAGCTAAGCTGGGGACAATAGTACAAACTGTTTCATTTCCTCGATCATTCTGGCCAGATGGCAGGCCTGGTTGAGATGCAAGGTATGTGCCTTCAGAGGCTCACAGGTCAGTTCTCAGCCTCCTGGGCCATTGTGTGGGCTAGATGAGGTAAGTGTGCGTAAAATGCTTAGCACATGCCTAGTACATGGTAAACACTAAATTTTTTCATCATTAAAAGCTAGTTCAAATTTTGGAGTGTACCCTGAGAGTGTGCTCTCCATATGTAGCAGCAAAACAGCATTGGAAGGGATGCCTGATCTTTGTTGTATATTCTTAGAGTGTTAAATTTAAAATATTAGTTTGACATTGAAATGTGGAATTGGCTGGCCAACGTCGTTCATACCTGTAATCCCAGCACTTTGGGAAGCCAAGGTGAGCGGACCTCTTGAGCTCAGGAGTTTAAGATGAACCTGGGCAACAAAGTGAGACTCCGTGTCTACAAAATTACAAAAATGTGCCAGATGTGGTGGCAGCCACCAGGGCGATATTAATAAGGAAGACAGAATGGTTATTAAAGTAGGCGACTAGCAACCTGCGGCACTGGGAATACAATTCTAGATAACAGTGATTTACACTCCCTGTTTTACATTTACTATTCTGTTGCCATCTGGATGCTACTGTTGCCATCAGAACAAATGCTGTTAATCAACTTGTCATTCTTTCTGTGGATAATTTGGTCTTTCTGGCTACTTTAAAGACCCTGTTGTCTTTAATATTATTCAATTTCAACATGATCTGCCTAGATGTCATTTTGGTTTTACTTACCCTGTTTGGGATTTGCCATAATTCCTGGATCTGAGGATTTATGTTTTTCATGAGATCTGAAATTTTTCTTTTTGAATACTGAACTCCTCAGTATCTTTTATTTAAAATGCTAGACCTTCTGGGTGAACCTTGAAAACCTTATGTGAAGTAAAATAAGCCAGATGCAAAAAGACAAATATTATATGATCCCACTTACATGAGGTATAAGAACAGGCAAATTCATAGAGACAAAGCAGAATAGAGGTTAGCAGGAGATGGTGTAGGAGAGAATACGTAGTTCTTATTTAATGGGCACAGAGTTCGTTTGGGATGATGAAAAAGTTCTGTAGATGGTGACAGATTTTGCAACATTGTGAATATACTTAATGAAATGTTAAAGTGTGAATTTTTAAAAAGATTTAGGCTTTCACAGAACAACTTCAACATGGTCCGTGAAAATAAAAAAACTAAAAAAAAAAGATTTAGGCTGGGCATGGTGGTTCACACCTATAATGCCAGCACTTTGAGAGGCTGAGGTAGGAGAATCTCTTGAGCTCAGGAGTTCGGGACCAGCCTGGGCAACACAGTGGGACCTCGTCTCTTTAAAAAAAAAAAAAAATTAAAAAGCTTGGATTATTTATCAATTTATCAATTTTAAACAGATCTCTCTCTCTCTCTCTCTCTCTCTCTCTCACACACACACACACACACACACACACCCCTCCTATTTTGGATAACATAGATGAACCTGCAGGACATTATGTTAAGTGAAATAAGCCAGGCACAGAAAGACAAACACGACATAATCTCACATATATATGGAACATAAAAAGAACTCAGAAGTAGAGGGTGGAATGGTGGTTATCAGGGGCGGGGGGTTGTTGGGGAGATGTTGGTCAGAGGATTCAAAATTTTAATTAGATAGAAGGAATAAGTTCAAGAGCTCTACTGTACAACATGTTGGCTATAGTTAATAACAATGTATAGTGTACTTGAAAATTGTTGAGAGTATATTTTGTATTATCACCATAGAAAAATGATGCGAGATAATACATATATTGATTAGCTCAATTTAGCCATTCCACAATGTATACCTTTATATTTTGAAACAATATGTTACATGTGGTAAATATATATAATTTTCATTTGTCAATTTAGAAAAAAAACAGTCAAAAAGAAAAGATAAATATCTCCCAAAGAAATAATTAGACTGAGCGCAATAGTGAAGGTCAAGAAAGAGAGTTAAGAATAATAGGCCAGGCTAGGTGCAGTGGCTTATGCCTGTAATCCCAGCACTTTGGAAGGCTAAGACAAGTGGATAACCTGAGGTCAGGAGTTTGAGACCAGCCTGACCAACAAGGAGAAACCCCATCTCTACTAAAAGTACAAAACATTAGCAGTGGCTCACACCTATAATACCAGCACTTTGGGAGGCCAAGGCGGGTGGATCACCTGAGGTCAGGAGTTTAAGACCAGCGTGACCAACAAGGAGAAACCCCATCTCTACTGAAAATACAAAAAATTAGCCAGGTGTGGTGGTGCATGCCTGTAATTCCAGCTACTTGGGAGGCTGACACAGGAGACTTGCTTGAACCCAGGAGGCGAAGGTTGCAGTGAGCCGAATTTACACCATTGCACTTCAGCCTGGGCAACAAGAGTGAAACTCTGTCTCAAAAAAAAAAAAAGAATAGGCCAGGCGGCACAGTGGCTCACACATGCAATCCCAGCACTTTGGGAGGCCCAGGCAGGCGGACCATGAGGTCAGATCAAGACCATCATATCAACATGGCGAAACCCGTCTCTACTAAAATACAAAAAATTAGCCAGGCGTGATGGCGCATACCTGTAGTCCCAGCTACTTGGGGGGATGAGGAAAGGGAATTGCTTGAACCTAAGGGGCAGAGGTTACAGTAAGCCAAGATCGCACCACTACACTCCAGCCTGGTGACAGACCAAGATTCCGTCTCAAAAAATAATAATAACCATTAACTCAGAATTATAGTTCTCATTCATTTAAGCATGAGATTGGTGAAAAAATGTTTTCCAAAAAGGAAAAGGAAAAAATAAATTTCAATTATTTTTCTCATTTTGATATATATTGTTCCTTTTCAAATCTACCAGGTTCTTTATTTCCTGTTCTTTCTGATAGTTTCCTCAATTCTTGTTAATGTTTTCATTTGCATCATTTACCTCTGTGAACACTTTAAGCATTCTTACATGTTTTGTGATTTTTAGATTGGGATGTCATGTTTGACCAATCTTAATCTGTAGGAACCTGGAGGAGTTAAGTTGAAAGTACTCTCCTTCAGAGGTGACGTAACATTTCTTCCTGCCAAGTGCTTTAGTCCAGCCAACCTGCAACCATTTCAACTCAGTTCCAAACCACCAAGATATTTTGTATTTAAACTCCATGCCCATTTGGAGGCAAATTTATACATATAAATTGTCACTGATTTCTATCTAGTGGTAAGGTTATTTCATTTCTCAGCTAGGCATGGTGGCTCACAGCTGTAATCTCAGCACTTTGGGAGGCCAAGGCAGGCAGATTGCTTGAGGCCAAGAGTTCAAGACTAGCCTGGCCAACATGCTGAAACCCTGTTTCTACTAAAAATACAAATATTAGCCAGGCTGGGTGGTGCATGCCTTAGTCCTAGCTACTCAGGAGGCTGAGGCACAAGAATCAACCTGGGAGGCAGAGGTTGCAGTGAACCAAGATCCTACCACTGCACTCCAGCCTGGGCAATAGAGGGAGACTCCATCTTAAAAAAAAAAAAAGAAAGAAAAAGAAAATTCATTTCTCTTTCCTAAAAAGCAGATTTTTTTCCTAGTCTTTCTGGCCTCTTACTGAGACTGTGGGTCTTCAAAAGTCCTGATTTTATGTGAGCATCTTCTTATATTGCATGGGCCCAAGTCTCTGTCTTTTGCCTCCTATGCAGCCTTAAAACCCAAGGCTTTCATTTCCTGGTATTGAGAAAGCCCCAGATTTCATACTGATTTACCCCATTGGTTTCACTTTCCTTTTCGTTTTATGTCTCTCAGGATAGCCTTTCTTTTCAAACTCAGATATGTATATGGAAGAATGCTTATGACCAGGCACGGTGGCTTATGCCTGTAATCCCAGCACTTTGGGAGGCTGAGGTGGGTGGATCACGAGATCAGGAATTTGAGACCAGCCTGGCCAACATAGTGAAACATGGTCTCTACTAAAAATACAAAAAAAATTAACCAGGCATGGTGGTGGAGACCTGTGATCCCAGCTACTTGGGAGGCTGAGGCAGGAGAACTTCTTGAACCCGGGAGGCGGAGGTTGTAGTGAGCTGAGATTGTGCCTCCACACTCCAGCCCAGATGACAATGGGAGACTCCGTCCAAAAAAAAAAAAAAAAGGCTTGCTATATCTTAATTAGCATCCAGTGCAATAGACAGGTTTTAGATTATATTGTTGGAAATCTGCTTTTCTTATTCAGCCACAGCACTGAGCACACATAAATGCTAGAAGATTGCATGCTGGATAATCAACGAATGCAGAAATGAACAGAAAGACATTCTGCGTTTTAAAATGTTTATCTCACATGCACACACCCAGAGGTGAGGCCTGCCGTTAGATCCCACTTGGTCAAGCACATCCTATCATTCACTGAGGATTCTAGCACCTGGGTCATAGGTTGCTCACCCCGAGTTCTGACATCATCCACATCCCTCCAAGTGACCCCTCACACCATGGCCTTGCAGTTCCTCAATGTCTGACTGTAAAAGCCACGGTTCAGGTATAAATTTCAGACCCATATATGGCTACTTTGAGCAGAAAGGGATTTAATACAGGGAATTGGTGCCTATAGGATCATTGGGAGGACTCAAAGGGAAGTGTCTAGTATAAGCTTCTAGAAAAACATCTCCCTGAAATAACACCGTACGACAGGTGCCCCTGGAGAGTGGCTTTCTCTGCCATAGTTGACAAACTAAGGAGTCAGAAAGCTGATGTCCTAACTACTGGCTCAAGATAGAACACATTTCTCCGCCAAGGCCTGTATTTTCCAGTCCCTTTCGCATCTAGGTCATGTCACTGAATTCTGGAATTGATTTCGGTAGAAATGATATGTGCCACTCCTAAGCCTGGTGCATAAAAACACCCTGTGCAAACCTGCATGCTTTCTCTTCACCCTCCCTGCTGGCTGGTTATGGACTTCCATGATGCCCTTAAATCCACATC